CAGTGTGCCAGTTTTGGATTTTGTGTCTGTCTGTGTGTGTGTGTGTGTGTGTGTGTGTGTGTGTGTGTGTGTGTCATTTATAGAGGCTGCTAGGCTCTGAAAAAACAGAAATCCATCATAGAAAGTGACAGTGAGGAAATATGACAGCATCAGAACAAATGACTATAATTCGACTTTCAAAAGAAGAATTTCTTTTGTTGAAAGTTGTGTTTACTGTGTCCTTCTCCCTTTTCCTCATGCTTTCTTTCCTCTAACTCTTCTTTCCCTTGGGTTTCTCTCTTTTCTTTATAAATATACATCATTTAAATTTTCTTCTAACACTTTTTCTTCTTCTGCTGTTTGTTCTGCTCTCACTCCCTCAGGCTTCTCTGCAGAATGTCCAGTAAGGAGCGCCACCTTGAGTCCAACTGTCCGTCCTCTTATATAAAGACTGAGCCGTCTAGTCCTGCCTCCCTGACTGACAGTCTAAACCATCACTCCCCTGGTGGCTCCAGTGACGCCTCAGGCTCATACTCATCCACGATGAACGGTCATCCCAACGGCTTGGACTCCCCAAGCCTTTACGGCTCCAATGCAGGGCCCATGGGTCCTGCTGGTGGCCCTGGATCAAAGCGCTATGAGGACTGTTCATCAACTATTGGGGAAGATTCACAGATTAAGTGCGAGTACATGTTGAATTCGATGCCCAAGAGGCTGTGTCTGGTGTGCGGGGACATTGCATCAGGGTACCACTATGGAGTGGCATCCTGTGAGGCCTGCAAGGCCTTCTTCAAACGCACCATCCAAGGTTGGCTTCCATTTTGATTTTATGTCCCCACTTTTTTCTGTTTGTCTGTCTCTATTTCTGTCTCTGTGTCTTGCCTTTTACTGTTTCAGGTCCACCACCACAGGTTTGGTTCTGTTTTGTCTCAGTCTCTTTCAATTTTGCTCCTGTTTTAGTGGTTCTGTTTTAACCACAAGGCTCAGGCCAGATGTCAACCCAGATTTTTATGTCTGTGTGCTAAATGCACCACCAGGACACCTACTACAGTGTTTTTTTTCTCTTATCATACATGCACATACACACAGTGACATATACACGTCCAGCCAGGTCCATGCATGTACAACCATGACATGGGCCCATGAATAGAACAGGAATCAGTTAGGCTTAGTAACCCTTTTCTTGTCTCTTGTTTTGATTACAAGCAGTTCAGGATGAGCAAAGGTATTTGGTCTATGCTTTTATGATTTAGTGACTATTTAATTAATGCTCGATTCTCAGCCTGATCACCATTATATCTTTCATTTACCCTTGTAGATACAAGTCAGTCCAATAGACAACCAGTCAGCTATAAAGTCGGCCGGTTAGTCAACCATTTGTTCTCTAATCTACGCAGTCCAAACGCTAAGTCTACCTTTATGCATAGTTTAGACAATATATTGAATTTTAATGGCATTTAATGTTTATTCACAAATGTAACACTTTTACAAAACTTACTTTATAAATACTTTGGGTTGTACTGTGTTTTTACAGGTTCCTTTCCACAACAAGAACAGCTAAAGCAGATATTCTAAACTTTTGTTAATGCAAACAATTCCTGTGAAATGGCCAAAGCCAACAGTGTGTTTTTAGATTAATCACAGAGTTTGACTGTTGCCACAAGAGCCTTGAGCCCTGGCTGCACAGTTTGGGAGCACAGACTGGATTCCTGTATCCTGGGATTTTGGGATGGTAATGGAGGATTTGTTGTGATGGATACTGATACGTTATTTTATAGGGATGTAACCATATTTGTAATTTTATGATATCCCAAAAGAAATATCTTGATAATGTCATGGGACTATGACAGTATCTACATGTGGCTATTTTGCCACCAAACAGAAAAATTTAAATACAAACTTGGAACTTTCTTGATGTGAGGGGACAGCGCTAATCACTGTTCCACCATGCCGCCTCAGGAAAATGTCATACAATATTATTTTTGTGCCACACACTCTTGTCCTATTCACACAGTCGGTCAATAAGTGATAAACCCTTGAAGACTGTTTGAGTAATAATGTCAATCAGTCTGCCACTGCAATAACCAAGCCAGCCAGTCATCATTGATCCACTGAACCAGTCAGTCAGTCATATCAGACGGGATTCATCTATCTGCTTTTCCATCCAACCACCTATCTGTCACTGCTTTCTTTTGCTTCTGATAAGCAGCTTTTCCAGGAAAGCCCCAGAGAGAAGGAGACTGGAAGATGTGGGGGCCTGGAAGTCTTATGTCCACTAGATAGTCACCACTACCTAGAGATGACCTATATGTGTTTATTATAGGATCAGGACACGGTGCAATCCTGACAAAGAGATTGGAGCACACACACAGTTACTGTAAAGGCAGAGACACAATCATACACAAACAAAAAGTCATAGCAGCACATTCATACAAATATACCAACGCATGTCATACGCATTACCTTATGCTCACTTTGTTATAGAGTTGACCCCTTATTCTGTCATTGCTGTCCTGTCTAATAGCTGACCAGTCCCACATCTGCTTTCATTTAAAGGACTTGTTAAAGGTTACATAGGTTGGGATTTGGTTGCAGATTAAACACAATAGCCCTGCAAATGTATAGATATGATGTCATATTGACAGCAGAGACTCTGTGGAGTATGACCTTGAATAGATTTAAAGCAGTACAATGTCCCAGTCTCTCTCACGGCCTCATTTTCACCCTATTTGTAATCGTCCCTTGCCCAGTAGTTGACATGTTGTCGATCAAGAAGGCCAGAGTTACAGGGTTATGGGTCAAATCTTTGACAAAACTAGTCACACGTCTGCTGTCATGAGAAGTTGTGATAAAATACAGTAGCAGTTTGATGAGGCAGGGGATGGAAAGTCACATTATAATTGGACCATCCAGAGAGAAGTACAAAAAAATGAGCTGAGATAAGCACAATATTGAATTCAGATGCCCTCATCCCTGTTTTAATGACTCAGATGGCTCAATCACAGCCATTATTTTATGTTTTTATTCAGAATTACATTAAAACATTTGATTTTGCTAGATGCTACTATGCTATAAATTTACACCAGCACTTTTCCATGTTTGTATGAACACAGCTTTATTTGTTCATATTTTTGTGAGAAAATCTAAACTTTCATGACCAAATCTCTTTTCATGAATGTCTGTGCTACAGTGCCACTGTACTGTACCAGGTTTTGTTTGGATGCAGGCAGAGCCGCCATGGTTCCACCATAATAAATGGGTCATGGCATTGTCTTTGGCTACTACACAAGCTAAAGTCAGCCTCAGACAGTGTGCATGTGTGTCTGTGTGTAGGCTTGTGGCCTTATGCTTATCCAAATATAAATGAGTGCAGGTTTACGTGTACGTCTGTGCACATATGCATATGTTTATGCACAGTTGTGTGTTAGTTTGTGTATCTTGGCTGGAAAGCAGGGCCAGCCTCAGATGGACAGCGGCGGACATATTGGTATGTTTCAACCCATTAGCCAATAAAACCGCAGGTAATCACCAAAAAAACACCTCCAGCTGGACAGGGAGGAGAGCAAGGGGTGGGAGAGGAGAGGGGAGGAGAGTGTACACCCATGTGGATGAACAAAAAGTTGAGACAAGGAATGAGAGAAAGAGGGAGGAGGGGGAGGGTGAACTGGGCACATGGATGTAGGAAGGAATTAGTGGTGTGTGTGTGTGTGTGTGTGTGTGTGTGTGTGTGTGAGTGTCAAAGCATGGAAGAAGTAGCTCTGGCAGCTGCTGTTCTGTGGCGTCAGTCCAGCGACACCTGACAACCTGCATCTATCACTCCCTTATTGAGGGAGAGGAATAAAGGCG